ACCGAGCATGTACCTAGCAGTACCGAGCATGTACTGAGCGGACGAATGAAAGAAAGCCGAATCAGGAGTTATTCAGGCTTTCGTTACTGCACGTCAAAGTCAAGACCACAACACCGCGTACCTGCTCTTCCGACCTAACAGATGCCTAAACGTTTCCTGCACTCACAACTTCGGCTTCGTTTCTTTCCCTGCGTCCTCTCCTTCCGACTTCGTCTCCTACACTCACGGCTTCGTCTCCTTCCCTTACAACTTCGTCTCTTTCCTCACGGCTTCGCCTCTAGTTTGCCTTTCAATTCTCACAGGAAGCCCTAATCCTATAAGCGAATACACGAACACGAATCGGTTGCGTCGTATTTATATATATACCAAAGAAAAAATTTCGAGGCGGTGCCTCATACTGCCTCTAGGCGTTACGCTCTAGTGCGTACGCCTCATGCGAAAAAATCGTAGGCTTCGCTGGATGGTTCGAGGTGTAAGCCCCGATACGCATGACTTCCGTCTCGAATTGAGGCGCGACTCAATACAGACGCCTCGTCCGCTTTTTTAATGGTTGCATACAATTATATATGACAAATGCTTTTATGAATACCCAAGAGATATTATATAATCAACATGTTAGGTATGATGTGTAGAATTTCTATGATTTATGGGAAATATATTAATTTTATTTAACAAAGCTAAATTGCATAAATTTAACTTTTCTAACATATAAATTTAACTTGCATGAATAAGAACTAATGAACAATAAATCAAGATAAAGCTATGATTATCACATGTTGATTTGTTATGAACAACAACAAATATTTATTACATGTGATTGTGCTAAATAATTCAAAATAGAACTGACAATCTAAGTAGCTATAAGGGAACCTACTATCATTGGCACATATTATGCCCATAACTAAGAATGGTACATTTACACAAAAATATATAATAGTACTTACCTCTAGGCGAGTGTCACAAAGCCCAAAGCCCAAACAATACTTAATCGATCACGCCTTGAGGATAAAACTCAAAAAGTCCTACAAACAATAAATCCTAATTTAACATTCAAAATGATGCTAAAGGGGACACATGCTTGAAACATAGAACTTACAAATCATACCTAAAAATATATTAGAATTAATAGCCACACCTATAAGATTCATTGCCAAAAGCAATGAAGTTTGAAAATGTCCAAGATAAAGTAGGGTTAGATCAACTCGAACATCAAACACATATAAAGCTTCTTCCTAAAGTAAGCTAAAATAATAAAATAAAAATAAAACTGAAATAAAATCTCCAATAAACTAAAACAAATTAAATGAGGGAAGAAAACATGATTATACAACTTGATAAATACGAAGAAGAAAATAAAAGAGAGGGAGGAGAGAAGAGAAGATGAAGGAGCTTATTATTGAAAGAGAAAGAGAAGATTGTGAAGATGCTTGGTGATTTCGCCAATCAATCAAACGGCGGTTGTTGCGACAGGGAGGAGAAATGAGGATTTTGGCAGCTGCTACGATAGAGAAAAGAGGAGTTGAATGAATCCCTAGATTCTATTTCGCCTTAAATGGGGAGAGCAATGACCATGAGCGGGAAAAATCACAAGAGGCGGCAGATGAATCACATGATTTATGTGATTGGAGAGAGAGGGAACCGCGGCTGGCTCGCGTGCGAAAGAGGCGAAGGAGGAGTGGGAGGGGGTTTGGTTCGTGTGGCTTCGACTCGACAAATGAAATGCCTGAACCGGCCGGTCCATGCTTAGATATTATAGGGAGCATGACTTATCAAGAGCAGTGCTATTCATTTTTAGTATTGTGTTTGCATGTGTTCATTTTCTTATTTTATGCAAGTTGTGAGGAATTATTATGATTTAGGTTAGATTAATGTTTTATTTGGTCTTTATTTTCATAATAAGCTACTTTAACTTAAGGTATTTTTTTTAATGAGCCTGTGCGGGTCCATGCCCCCAAGGACCCCAGTGTAGCTTCATTGTTATCTGTGATATTTACCTGAAAAGGCTTCAATTATTCATGCAAGCATTTCACAACCTATTTTGAATTTACATCCTTTGTGGATAGACCGCAATGATGATGATTAATAGTCCTGGAATGTTTTTAATTTGATATTGAGTTATCATGTTGGACCTATTGTTGCTTGCTCCCTTTCTATTGATTATTGGTTTGCTACTTTTTTCAGGGGCTACAAACGCTTTTTTAGACGAGCTGCACTTGAGACATCAGACTACCTCAAGGATGATTGCTTGAAAATAAATTGTACTGTTGGTGTTGTGGTATCAGTCATGGACTGTCCTAGGTTGCACTCTATACAGGTTCCTGAGTCTGATATGGGACTGCATTTTGGTATGCTTTTGGAAAAGCAAGAAAGTTCAGATATCATTTTTGATGTGGCCGGGGAAAAAATACATGCCCACAAACTGGTATTAGCTGCTCGTTCTCCTATCTTTAGAACTATGTTTTTTGATGGGCCGGATGAGGCCCTAAGTGAGATAGTTATTAAAGATTTAGAGCCAAAGGTGTTTAAGGTGAGGATTGCCATTGTTTCAGCTAATTTCATCTTTAGGGCTCATTTGGGTGCTTACAGATGAAAAACTTGTTTTCAGAAATGACGATTTTGCTTTTATTTATTTTGAGTTTGCTTTAAATTATTTTTAGTGTGAAAAAGAACTCACGTTTGAGGGATTTTGACTGTAATTGTAGAAGCCATATTGATTTCAAATTTCATACAACCAAGTAATGGAATCTAGAAGATTCTTTATTTTTTCAAAACATATTTTCAACTTGATGCAACCAAATGAGCCCTTAGCTAATTCTTGTATTAATGCTAATTTTTCTCTATGTTAAATTTTTTCCTATGCATATATCAGGCAATGCTACATTTTATATACAAAGATACTCTAGATGAAGATGATGTCCCTGTTGGATCAGGGTCTCCAGGAGTTTCGGTGTCAGACACATTGGCTGCAAAATTGTTAGCTGCAGCGGACAAGTATGGCTTGGGAAGGCTGCGGCTTATGTGTGAGTCTTACTTGTGCAAGGATATATCTGTTAACTCTGTTGCTAGCACTCTTGCATTGGCTGATCGCTTTCATGCCATGGAACTAAAGGCTGCTTGCCTCAGATTTGCTGCTGAAAACCTTTCAGGTATTGTTACTGTGCACAAAATATTTCGTTTTTGGACACTCGGCTGCTGATAAAGAACTTCTTTTACAAGAAATCTTTCTGCACTTTTGGTACTTTTGCACTTTTTGAAAAAATTAAAATATTAAGTGGGATAGTGACACTACAAATCTTGAGTAATGCAGAACTGTAGCCTTTATTAAACATTCATACGAAGATGAAAGTGGCTATGGATATCTGCCTATGAATTTACTTTAATAGGAGTCTTTCTTATGAAATTTCATCTTGAAATCACCAGATCTTCACTTTCTAAACTTTTTCTTGGGTGAACACTTTAGTCTTGGTGCATATTTATGTGATATTTGGGGAAAAAGTTTATTTTCTCTTCTTAGTAAGTTGTAATAATGATTTAGTATATGTTTTCAGAAATAAGATTAGTGATTTAGTTAATAAATAGAATTATGCATCTCAAGGTCTGGTGCGTGATGGAAATGTTTGGTGGCAGGACCCGTTTGCTATCAACATTGCATTGGGATAAATTTTCTTTTCAAAGCTCCTGTGATTGTATGAGAGAAGAAGATTCTGTTGGAATATAGAAGCAGCTTCCAACCAATAGTTCCTCAGCCTCGTTTATGTAATGGAGAATCCCACCAAATGAGCTCTGATTTACCTGATTGGCCTGATTGGCATCCTGGCCCATAAATCTAAGATTATTTTTCTTTAAGTTGGTCAAGTGTCAGTTGACTAAGGGAAATCTGCTTTACAATCAACATATATGAGGAGTATCGAAGGTCAATATAGCTTTAATGTGATTCATTCAAAATAGGAACTGCATAGACATTTGGAATATGATGAGAATACCTTGCCGGCTAAGGCAGAGGACCTTGTCATCTGTGATTTGGATGGTGCACCTAAGTGAAAGCATATGAAAGGGAATTGTGACTTTAAAGCTGTGATAGGCTTAAGGTATAATGCATGTCAAACTTAATTTAGTTTAAGATTAAATATAGTTTGTTTGTTTTGGATTGTGAGACCTCGTCATCCAAGGCATACAATTAGATAAGTTAATCTTGATGCACTGATCTTCATTCCGGTTCAACTTCAAGTTGCCTTGAAGAGAAGGGTCGGGAAAAAATGTTTTTACAGAATAGAGAACGAAGTTGGAGTTTGGATAGTTGGATCGACTATGATTAGCTGTTTGTTTTATATTGGCATGTAAGAAGAGAATTGTGAAAATTGTACGAGGCCTGATTCTGTGATACCCCACAGCTGGCGTGATGAAGTATTGTTGATAATGTGCATTTTGAAGTATCTAGGTGCAGGATTGGCACCACCACACTTACAGGGACCAAGATCATTGATATAACTATTAAGAAAAAATTTCCATGCAATTTAAAAAATTATTAATGGCATACTGACAAGATTGAATTATAAAAGGACGAGAGCAGTCGTCCCAAGTTGTTCTCTCTTGTCATTACCATTATATTTGTTATTACTAATGTGAAATTTGCGGTAGAGGTGCTACAAACCTTGTCATGCTGTTTTATGTACAGTTGAAATGTTATCATTGAGTTAAGTCTAAAATCTTAATTCACCATGATTTTAACCTTCTCATGCTCTTTCATGTACAATTGAAATGTTATCATTGAGTTAGTCTAAAATCTTCATTCACCCAAAACTTCAGCTAACACATGCTTTAGACTTAGAATCTGATAAGATTCCAGGTTTGAATGGAGTGTTTGAGAAAAAAACATGCTAACAACATGCCAAGGCCAACAACTGGTGTAGGTGAATGGTGAGAGGTGATGTACCGACTTTTTATGAATAACCTGTCAATTTAGGCGATGCATTTATTTTAAAAATACCACCACTATTGGTCATACGCCCAAATATGAAAGGTTGAGGGTTAATGTGTTTTAAAAAGTAAACTATCAATTGTAAGTTCTATGCCAAAATTTATGAAATTGATTTAAATTTGAAATTCTTTATCGTTAAGGTGTTCCCTAGAAGCAACATCTTATGACCTCTGGTTAAGGTAAGGGCTTGTTATGTTGTCTCGTGTAAGTGATGCATCACAACTTACCTCGAGTGTGATGAAAAATAGATAAGGATTACTTGCAAGAAACATGCTGTTACTTAAATCAATTGTAGTGAAAAGTAAGTAATAGTTGACTAGGTCTTAGATTAATATTGGAAATGCTACATGAAATTTCAGGATTTTGATTTGGAAGATGAAAATTGGTGGACAAAAAGATTCAAAGAAGGATAAAATACTTTTGTGAGAAACTAAATGCAAAAGAGAAAAAATCCTAAGAATGATGGGGGAATGCTATAAGCTATTTTATGTTGGAAAGGTTGATAATAGTAGTAGTAGATAAAGAGCTAATTTTTTTTTTAAATTAATATAGTGATAGAGTGGTTTTATCATGTTAATTATTGGTTAGGCAGTATCAATTTGATTAGTACTTGTGATTAAGTTAGATTAGAAGATATTTTGAAAGTTAGTTTTGTGAAGAATGGATAAATTAATACAAAGTATATCCAAAAACAAGTTTGAAATTAAATCGAGTTTGAGAAAGTTTGGCTTGATTTGGAATAAAAAAATTTGATCCCAGCTGGAGTTAAAATTTAACTCAAAATAGAGGTTAATTCCAATTGAGCCAACTTATTTTGAAATCATTCAATTTTGAATTTACCCATAGCAGATTTTGAATTAACTCAAAGTTAATTCTTTGTTGTATTTTATCTACATATATTTGTATATTTTATTGTATAATTAATTAATTAATTTAATGTAGTATACAGTGCTCATTTAAGCTCATATTTCAAGTCAACTCGAATCATGCTCGAGCAAGTTGACTCAAGCACTAAATCTTTTTTGGGTATGTAGTGGAACTCATTATTGAGTCAATTTTTTTAGTTTAAGTAAAATTTCAAGTGATTTTGAGTTTTATTTTATTTTTTTGCTTTACTTGAGAAAGAGGATTATTATGGGACTAATTTCCATGGATGAATATCTATAATAGGATGGGTGATGAAATGATTTCATGTTGAGTATGAAATATGAGATGTACATTGAATGACAGCAACTGTATTTGATTCCACAGCTGCTTGTTAGCATACAGTAGTGAATTTATACTCTATGAATCAAAGAACATTTAATTAGTTGCAAAAAGTTGAGCCATCAAATAACAACTAGATTTTTCTTTTGTTGATGGAAAGACATTTGTTTTTCAAGTTTGTGAGATAATTTTAAGAATAAGTTTGACCAAACAACATATAGTTATAATTTGATATGTATATCTTTTCAGTATAAATAATATAGTTTAAAAGAAATAGATTTTTAGGATATGGTGGTGAAACTTGAAAGGTGAAAATTGTGTATCTTTCATGAATTTTACTAAGGGAGGCAAACATAATTCTTTTATTTGAGATAAATGTAATTTGGTATAAGATAGTGAATTTCATTAACAAGATTTTTATTGAAATTTTAGAAGAGTTTTGATATAGATCATATATTGGTAAGTAGGTACAAAAAATTATTGAGAAAAAATGTGCTTTTAAAGGTTAGCAAAAAATAATTATTGTTAAGGCTCATAAGATTATAAGAAAATTAAAAGTTTTGCAAAGAGAGTTGTTAGGAAAACAAAAGGTATATTTTGATGGTTTTTATGATAGACTAGACACTACTGAATAAGAAAGAGATATATACCATAACTATCATGAGATGAATGAAATTTTGATGAAGTTTGATGGATTAGAAGCAAAGATAATAATGTCTTAGTTAAATATATGAAGACATCAAAGATAAATGGAGATAATACTTTGAGAAATTATCAAACAAGCATTGAAGGGAAAAATTGTCCTAGAAGATGATGATGAACAAAGTAGTGAGTTGTATTATAGATGGATATAAACGAATGTAGAATTTCCTTTGAAGAAAAAAAATGAAGTGGTGTTAGCTCTGAAGATGCATAAGATAAAAATTTAGATCCAATTATATAGATGAGATATCTATTGATGTTTGGAGAGATGTATGTGATATTATAGTTGTTTGGTCAACAAATCAAATATTTTTAATGGTATTTTGCAAATTAAGATAATGTCAAATTACGGAGAAGAATTATTTTTGTTTAAGTATTTTGAATCAAAGATGATGTTCAAGATTTTAGTAATTGTTAAGGTATCAAAATTTTGAGACATAATAAAGTTATGTTTGTGAGAGAGAAAGAGAGAAGAAAGAGTAATGGAGCAAATTTAGAAAAAAAATACATTGGCATCGAAGAATCGTTTTGGCTCCATGCTAGAAGATTCATTATGGAAGTGATTTTTTGTTGAAGGCAATGAAAAAGTATACAAAGTTAAGAGATGATATTCATATGTTCATTTTGGAAAGGCATATGGTTTTGCATCATGAGAATAGTTTTGGGTGCATTACACAAAAACTGTGTCAAAAGTATATTAAAAATTTTAAAGATATATACACTATAGCGTTATCCAGCAATAAAAGAAATTGTTGATAAAAAAAAATTTTTAAAGTAGGATTGCATCAATTATTTATGTTAAATTCATATATTTCCGTATTGAGTATGAAGATGGTTATATTTCATAGATAATAGTTATATATGTGAGACATCTCTTGAAATAAGTGGAAAGTTAGAATAATAGAGAAAATATTTGTAAGATAACTTACTGAAATTAGTAGAATAAAAAAAATGTTTTAAATATAATTTTAGTGTACATGATATTTATAACTGTCGTTCAATATATTGAAATTTAAGTGATATCTTGGTGTAATAGGGTTAATTATCTTCAGATAGTTGAGCCTCTTGTTGGATTAATAAACCACAATGGTAGGTTCCTTGTCAACAATCTGTTTATTTTACTTTCAAGTACAATCCTAAACGTTGTCTTTCTTATAATTCTCCAATCTATGCCCTTGTTGCTGGAGCAATTTGGTCAACATCTTCATAGCTTTACTCATTACATGATTAACCTCTCCTATTAACTTCGTCCTTCGCTTTTCAAATAAGTAAATATGCTTTGTTTCTTATCATGCTAAATCAGGGTATTCAAGCACTCAACCAAATTATTCATGACTGGATTTGCTTGCATTCTTGAATTGAAATAGTTCCTAGCTCAAAGTTCCAATCTAGTGTTTTCATGCATTAACCAATCGTATGCCTTTTTTGATTTGATATAAATAATCTCTTTGCTGAATATGTAACCTATGTAGGCATCGGCTATATTTAAAAAATGTCATCTTAATTGAAATTCTTGAAATACTTTATAAAAATTGCTAATGATGTGCCTAAAAGAATGTTCTATTTAGCTTGCAAGAAATTAATCGAACTTTTTTGTCTAAGCTTTGGGATTTGCAATGACATATGAATATTATATACAAGTATATATAGCTTGTGAGCTACTTGATGTAGAAGTAGCTTATTTGCTAATTTTGTTTTTGTCATGCATAATTATTAGTGTTATGTATAAATCAATCGTTTCTAACTATCGAGTACATCCTTAATAACATGCAAGAGCCAAGAATGTTACTTTTGATGTACTTCATGAGAAGCCCACAACTGGAATTATGAAAATTCTATTAGATACATGCAATATTTCATTGTAATAAAGAAGGTACATATCTCTCATTGAATGACATGTTGATTACAACAAACAAATTAAAGTAAAAATTGTTAAAAAGAGCTTGCGCAAATGATTTGGGAGAAGCAAATAAAATTCTTGGGATAAGCATTGCTAAAGACGAATTCTGTTAATTATTCCATTGTCCTGTTAATTTGAACTCGAAAAGAAACAAACTCCTAAAACTAATGAGTAGATAAAATATATCCAAATTTTCGTGCGTTTTAGTAAAATGCTAACTAATATGTCGTGGTATTCATAAAGCTTTATGTTGCTTTTCTTGTAGGAACAGCGAGCAGGAGCAAGCATGTTCTTAAATTGTTGAGCTTTATTGATTTAACTTGGGAGGTGACTTGGGAAATCAAGTAGTATAACTTGTTATACCTTGAATTGTTATCAACTGGGTATCAAGTTTATGAAATAGGGGCATTGCCAATCATTGAAGTAGAACATGTTGCAAGTATCGAGGCCTATCAAATAAATGGTTTGTTTGAGGGACTTCTTGGAAGAGTTAGATAATAAAATGACGATTTTTTCTTGTAATAGTCAGTGCTATATATCTGACCAATGATGGAACAATTTAATCCATGAAAAAAACGTATTAACCTTTAAGATAATTTTATATAAGGTTTTATTAGAACATAACATCCTATTTTTAGTGTAAAATTAAGGGGTCTGAGAAATAACGGGGTTGTAGTTGGATTGGGAGAAGTACACAATTACTCAATAGCAATAGTGGTAAAGGTAAGAGAAGGTAAGCTATGAAGGTGCACATCGCATAGGTAGCAAACTGCAGGGAGTGGAAAATCTGCAAAATGGAGGCAGAGGGTAAACAACCAACCACAGGAAAACATGGAAAATAATATTTATGCACACATCGAGGATATGGAACACATCAACATCAGCACTTTAGAACAAATAAGTAGTGATTAACAAGTCCACGTTATGTTAGTGATTCTGAGCTAAATAGTTGCTGCGTGGAATTCAATGGGATTAACTGAAACCATGCATTAATTAATTATACCTGACAAACATTTTGAAGTACTAGAGAACACGTTCCATTTGAATAAGAGCCTTTTACACAAAATAACTAGTACGAAAAAAATATAATGATACAATTCATATAAATCATCACTTTTTTATGCTTGACACGAATATACTTTCAATTTTTCATCATTGGGGACTCATATGAACATGTACTATCATAAACCTCATTGTACTAGTTTTGGAGAGGGCCCCCATTAAAGATGATAGTGTTGAGAACTTATCTGTAGTGTTTTTAAAAATTGTTGATGAATGTGAAGCTATGATGCACGGACACGGACACGGCGACACGGACACGACACGACATGGACACGGGACACGATTTTTTTTGAAAATATATGACACGGGTACGACGCGGACAAGACTATACATTTTTTTATATAGTGTATATATATTAATGTAATATCATATTAAAAATGACAAACAATAATAAATGAATGACATGATAACTTGTCTAGCTTATAATATAAAATATTTAATACAAAATATTTATTACAACCACAAAAATAATCACATACTACAATATCAAGCATTCAAGCTTCAACTACTAGGATTAGCTTTAGAGGTTTGTTTTTGGCCTTCAATATCATCATCATTGAAAATCACTACTTTCAACTCTGGTTCAACAAGAGAAAGATTTGTAATTGTGCAAAAAGAGAGGAGATGAAAATACCTTCACTGCCAAAGAGAAATGAAAATGAGAATATTCGATGAATGGGTATTAAATGCAGACGTTGATTTGGTGTTGTGGATATAAAATAAGAAATTTAATTTAAATCTCGCCAAATATAAGAAATTATATTTTAAAAAAAATTATAAAATATTTAAGATATGCGTGTCCGCCACGCATGTCCAATTTGTTTTTAATATTTTTTAATTGGACACGTTTTCGGTGTGTCTGACACGTGTCGGACGAGTGTCGTGTCGGACACGGTGTTGGACACTGCACGACTCTTTGAGGAGAAGTGTCGGTGCATCATAGATGTGAAGTGTCTTGAATATTCCTCAGAGGTCTACGTGTAATTTACCTTTATATTTAATATGTTTGCTTATTGAGCTGTACCTATAGGAAATTACCCGCAGCGAACTGTCTTTACAATTTTTTTAGAAAGCCAAGATCTATGGTAGTTGTTCATAAGTCGCCTTTTGAGATGAATATTAGTCCTTATGTTGAGGATCTATTGCTTGATTGAGGAACTTTTGAACATCCGATACTTTATTTTGATTTCCACACCAAGAATATTTGCTTTTTCCATCCAAATGCTAGTTCTTCAACAGCTTTCTTCTTCAATATTAGATTTGTTCAAGTTTGCTGATGTTCCTTATTGAACTGTGAGCTTCTAGCTAAATGGATGTAACACCTATTGTTTGATGATCCATAGCTGATGAATTATATTGTCCCCATCTTGGTCTTTTTGGTCGTTTGCCATTTCCACTCTCCAGAGTAGTGTGATTTGAAGTCCAAGGGGTTGATTGTGGCCATTTTGCATGACATCAACGTTATGTTATTCTTAGTATGCTTGAGCTCTTTTAATCTATTTGATTTATTTTCTTATAACATCTTAGCATTTTTTTATCATTTTTTTAAATTGTCATGTGTTTACTTGGTATGGGTCTTGCTGCAAAAAGCTAGCTGAGCAAATGTATCATTTTGCAATTCAACTATTTTTATAAATAACTGCTTGAGTTTGAGCTTCATTCAAACAGTTGTTATTTAATGAATTTGTTTTTTCTGCATTTGAAATTTTTTACTAGATCATTTATGGACTTCGGATGTGTGATGCTTCCCCTCCTTTGCAAATGTCAAAGTGCTGTGTGAGATACCCATGACTGATTCAGTGACCATGTGACTGAGTCAATCAAGAATTGTTGATCTATGTTTTTTTTTTTTGTGTATGTTTTGGACTCTTTGTAATTTGGACTATGTTTTTTTATTTTATTTGCAATACCCTATAATGGAAAACAACCTGTGATCATGTTTGAGTTTGGTGCTCTTAGGAAGTTTCACTCCTTTGGTTTCCACTTGTATTGATTTAGCTTCTTTGGTGGTTAGTTGGGTATTTATTTTAAGCTGTCTTACTTATTGGGCTTGGCCCAACTCTTTCCCTATGCTGGCTATTTTCTCCCATGCTGCTATCTTTCCTTGCTGCTGGCTTTTCCTATGCTACCCCATTTTTCCCCATGTTACTACCCCATTTTTCCTTGCTACTGGCTGTTCATTTTCCACCTTGTTTTTTATACTAAGTGCATTAACTCCTCTTTAAATGGGCTAACTTGAGAGACTTCTATCAGTTGTTTGGGTGGCATATTATGACCATTGCCCCCCTTCTCCTATATATATGGGTTATTTTGCTACTGGAAGGGGTCGGTTGTTATTGTTGCTGGTGTAATTACACTAAAACCTGCGGGTTATTTAGCTTGCGAGCTATCTTCTTCTACCTTCCTTCTTCTATTTCTTTTTGGTGTTCTATCTAATCTTCTTTCCACGGTTCCCATTCCACCTGTATCTTTCTTCCCCAAATATTGTGAGTTTCAAGATGTTGTTTGTTGGTATTTGCCGGAGTGCTGACTTGAGCTGAATCAAAATTTATGTAGTGAACCACTTGTTTGTCCTTTCCTTTGAGCACCTTTCCTATTTTGGGTTTTGCATGTGAGGTGACCTTTCTAGGTTGTTCTGATGGTAGTTAATTTTAAGTTTTAGTTTTTTTCTTTGCAATATTTCCTAATCATTTACTTATATATGTTTACTATTAAGTTTCATTCAGTTGGTGTTGGTTTATGTATTATTGAAAGGAAGTGTCTTGTTGCATTCCTAGTGTTCTCCTACTTGACTATAGAACTTAGGTTGCATCTGTTAGGCCAGTTCAGGGTGAACCGGCCCAGCCAGCTTTGCGGGTCCGGCTTTGCGGGTCTACAGGAGGCGAAAACATTCCGCCTTCCTCTACTAATCCCGCCCATTGGGCGGGCCCCACTGCTCAAAGACAATTTTAAATTTAAAAGGAGGGGGCGGCAGGGGCTGTTTGGTCTTTTATGTATTTTAATTAATTGTATGCTTTAATTATGGGAGGGAGATTAGGGCAAGGGATGCTTTTGATTATTCAGAAATTCTCTTGTTGTTCTTTTGGGTGCGAGGGCTTTAGATCTGATTTTCTAGAGGTTGGGAGAGTGTGATCCTCCTCTCGAATAGAGGATCTTTGTATCTTTGCTATTTTTCCTTCATCTACTAGTGAAATACAAGTTATTTGGGTGATTTTTATCCACTATTCTCTCATATTTTCTGTTTTTGTCCACTGTTCTTGCTGTTTTTTTGCTGTAAACAGCGGATTTCATTAAGATTTGCTTCAGAGTTTCCCTCATCTACTAGCTGTTTTTTTGCTGTAAACAGTGATCCTCCTCTCAATCAAGTATTTCCAATCAAATTTGTATCAGAGCAAGACTTGGACCCAATCGTGGGCTGTTTTTGACAAATTTCAACGGCTGAAATTTGTGCCGGCGAAGAGGAAATTGCTGAATTTTTTTTTTTCAGATCTAGAGATCTTTTCAAAAATTTCAAGCCATAGGAGATGACAGCTAAGAAAGTGGATGCTTTGGAAGAGAGGCTTGAAGGAGAGATGAATCAAATCAAGGAGACCATGGAGGAAAGAATTTCTTCCATGGAAGGGCAAGTGGTCGATCTACGGGATATGATGAAGAAGATGTGGATTTTTGAGGGGGGGGGTGGGCAGTTCTGAGGTGGAGAAAAAGCTGCATCTGGATGTGGCAGAAGTCTCTCTTAACTCCGTAGTGAGATTCACTCCGAGTCACACTATTAAGGTGAAAGGAGAGATAGCTGACCGTGAAGTTGTGGTGTTGATCGATAGTGGGGCAACCCACAATTTCATTTCCACCCAGATTGTGGAGCTGCTGGGGATGGAGTTAGTAGATACAGGAGGTTATGGGGTGATGATGGACACGAGAAAGGTAGAAATGGGAAGAGGAGTCTGTAGGGGGGTGGTGCTGAAGATCCAAGGTATTCAAGTGAAAGAAGACTTGCTTCCTCTAGAACTGGGGAGTACAGATGTCATCCTAGGGATAAAGTGGTTGCAAATCTTAGGGGAAACCAAGATCAATTGGGGTACTCTGAGGATGGAGTTGATGAAGGGAGGAATGAAGAGGGTGATTCAAGGTGATGCGGGACTGACCAAGGCAGAGGTTTCTCTCAAATCCCTAATCAAGACAATTCAGGAGGAGGGGGAAGGCTATTTGGTGGAATTACACATATTGGAGGGAGTGAGTTTGGATGAAGGGGGAGACATACCCCTCTA